AGAAAATATCACCAGCTACATACCCTATGTACATGAGAAAATATCACTAGCTACATACCCTATGTACATGAGAAAATATCACTAGCTACATACCCTATGTACATGAGAAAATATCACTAGCTACATACCCTATGTACATGAGAAAATATCACTAGTTACATACCTTATGTACATGAGATTCCAAATTTCTTCCTTTCATAATTGGAGCTGGTGTATGAATATTTGAAACGGGGGGACCTCTCAGTGGCTAAAATGAAATTATTATATTTATTAATGTGTGTGTAGCAAACATGAATATGTATGTTATGATTACTTACCCAACAGTTTAAACTATAATACATACATTTTTTTTAGATATCTGTAAAAAACAGTTAATTTAAATAAAATATCAAATAGCAAGAATAATAAACAATAAAACATTAAAATATGTCAAGTTTTGATTGTTTATAACATGTTCAAAGATTATGATTCCAAAATGTTAGGTGTATATACACACACACACACAGTTGCAATATACTAAATCAAATAATTTTCCAACCAAAGACTGACTGCTGGATAAAAAAGTAATCAAATTTGCAATACTCATCCATTAGAATATAAAACCATGAAAGATCAGTATACACATTATAAAACCATGAAACACTGTCAAACTAATGTATACAATCCTTAATATCAGTATACACATTATAAAACCATGAAACACTGTCAAACTAATGTATACAATCCTTAATATCAGTATACACATTACAATATAAAACTATGAAACACTGTCGAACTAGTGTATACAATCCTTAATATCAGTATACATATTATAAAACCATGAAACACTGTCAAACTAATGTATACAATCCTTAATATCAGTATACACATTATAATATAAAACTATCAAATACTGTCAAACTAATGTATACAATCCTTAATATCAGTATACACATTATAATATAAAACTACAAAACACTATCAAACTAATGTATACAACCCTTAATATCAGTATACACATTACAATATAAAACTATGAAGCACTGTCGAACTAATGTATACAACCCTTAATATCAGTATACACATTATAATATAAAACTATGAAATACTGTCAAACTAATGTAATAATTCCTTAATATCAGTATACACATTATAATATAAAACTATCAAATACTGGCAAACTAATGTATACAATCCTTAATATCAGTATACACATTACAATATAAAACTACGAAACACTGTCAAACTAATGTATACAACCCTTAATATCAGTATACACATTATAATATAAAACTATAAAATACCATCAAACTAATGTATACACATTATAAAACTATGAAATACTTTCAAACTAATGTATACAACCCTTAATATCAGTATACACATTATAATACAAAACTATGAAATACTGTCAAACTAATGTATACAACCCTTATAACATATCACCATGACAGCTTGACAAACTAACCTTAACAAACTCGTTAGTCTGTCTACCCATTATAACATATCACCATGATAGCTTGACAAACTCGTTAGTCTGTCTACCCATTATAACATATCACCATGATAGCTTGACAAACTTGTTAGTCTGTCTACCCATTATAACATATCACCATGATAGCTCGACAAACTAACATTAACAAACTCGTTAGTCTGTCTACCCATTATAACATATTACCATGATAGCTTGACAAACTCATTAGTCTGTCTACCCATTATAACATATCACCATAACAGCTTGACAAACTAACCTTAACAAACTCGTTAGTCTGTCTACCCATTATAACATATCACCATGACAGCTTGACAAACTAACCTTAACAAACTCATTAGTCTGTCTACCCATGATTGCTTTTTTTGTGTTTCAAGAAGTTTGTAAACAAGTTATAATACACACTTTAAAGATTAAGAATTTAAGTAATTTTGATAATTTCTGTATAAAGATCCCAGTATGTATGGAGCAAGTTGTCAATTCTAAACTCTGTGTGAAGTTAAAAAAGAAGCATCAATGATTCCACTCCACTTCTTTCTCTAGCTACATTAACCCTTTCAATACAATCCTAGCTACGACAACCCTTTCAATACAATCCTAGCTACGGCAACCCTTTCAATACAATCCTAGCTACGGCAACCCTTTCAATACAATCCTAGCTACGGCAACCCTTTCAATACAATCCTAGCTACGGCAACCCTTTCAATACAATCCTAGCTACGACAACCCTTTCAATACAATCCTAGCTACGACAACCCTTTCAATACAATCCTAGCTACGTTAACCCTTTCAATACAATCCTAGCTACGTTAACCCCTTCAATACAAGCAGAGATCAGAGAACATCATCACAATTTGTAGACTTACACAAACATTTTTTTATTAAACTACTATCTTATGAATGTATGTTCATAAATTTGAATCAAATTATAGTTGGCAATTCAAATTTTAATGTTATACATTATTGAATTTCTTAGTTAAATAGTAAATATATAAAAAAATTGCTGAATATAAATTTTCATGTCTCCTGCTTCTGTTCATATTGAGTTGTAGGCATCATAAAATGTAAATTTTAATTTTGAATGAATAAGAAACTCAAATTACCAGTATTAAGAAGCTAGAATATAAAATAATAACCTCATATCTTTTCTATTTGCTGAGATATTGTTATATTTAGCAAACCCACCACAGTGGCTCCACTCAACTCTTTTGAAAATACTTAAGTCCATGTTTATAACCAATGAAAAGCACATTTTGAACTACATAATCATGTCAGTCTTCCCAAAGTATTTACACGGGTAAAGCTATTATAACATTGGAGAATTTGAAAAGAGGTGATCAAGGTGATATGTTTATCAGAAATGAGTTTTTTTTAATATCCAAATACAGGTTCGTTAGAAAGCTTGATGATATATTACTGGAATTTTGTGGTATCAGTACAATAATATATAAAACCTACAATTTATTTTTTACATCCTCCATGCACTAAATTTGATAAGGCTTAGCATGTACAATACACGAGTACAAAAAACTTCATAACATCACAAGTAGTAGAGATCATCATTTTCTATATTTCTTTATTTACTGTTCTATGTTTTAAGAAAAATAACGGAAATTTAAGAATTTGTAAATAGTAATAACATACATATAGATAGTTGTATGGTAACTGAAATGTCACCGTATTTTACAAAATACTGGTACGCCAATACTCAAACTAAAAAGAATAAGACATTTGTACATTGTTAAAGGCAATTTTATGTAAATTATGTGAGGTGGGATTACTATTAGACATGGTTTGAAGGTCAATAAATAAATAAAATCATGACCTATATCTTCAGAATGTACCTTTATTAGCTCAATATTTTGCTATTACAGCTTCATCAGGAACTATTGATATCTTACTAGTTCACTAATCCAGTAAATATAAATTGGAAAACCATCATTTGTAAATCGAACATTGATACACGTGTTCATATTATATTGAAATAATATCAAACATTCTTGACCTTTCTAAACACATGTATCAATGTTTGATTTACAAATGACAGTGTTCCAATTTAAATCTAACTGGATTCATGGAGTTGTAGGATATCAATAGCTACTGGCAAAGCTGTAATAGTGAAATATTGAGCTAATAAAGTTACATTCTGGAGACATAGGTTGTGATTTTATTTATGTTTCTTGAAATGTCTCATAATAAACTCCAGTTTGCATTAAACAAAGTTAAGAAAAAAAAAAAATATAAACAGATGTATACTGTTACAATATTTAAGCTATTTAGAATAAACATTTGTGGTTTCTTATTACAAGTTGCAGTCATTCTAGAAAGAAATAGAGGTAATTAAGATTTATTTCTTAATTTTTTATGGTGGTTACGAGATTGGTCAAATAAACCAACCTCATGTAGAGTTGAGGTACAGAAAATAACAGATAAAATATAAAGTTTTTCTAATGGTTATAGAGATTACGCAAATGAAATTTGACAATTTTCAGATGAACGAGTATTTTTAAACCAAACCAAAACTACTTTGCATGTTGAATAGTCAACATTCTGAAAGAAAATAATTCATGAGCAAAATTTAATTAAAAAATCTTAATACTTAATTAATAAACCTGATCATTTGTGTATAAAACCTTATAACATTTTCTGATAATCTGCAAAAAATTTCGTGAAGACACACGTTCATTATAGAAGGTTATAGTATAACTACTCTCATGGTTAGGTGCAATGCATCTAGCCCAATAGAGTAAGTTAATATATCTTTAAAAATATTATGAAAGTAACAAGATGGCACATCATTTTATAAAAAAAGTAATTAATGCCCAAATATTTACCTAATTGCAACAAATTTAAAATTATACATGCAGAAGGTGAGTATTAACAGCTCAAACAATTAATTACACACACACACACCAATACCTCTTGAACTTTCCTACAACTGAGTAATGGGCGTCTCCGAAGATTAGAAGGCTAGTGCAAAAGAAGAGAGAAATACCAAGAGTGAGACATGCATTCAGTACCATTATAAAAAGCATTTTCTAAATTGTTTTGAATGTGCATAATTAGAAACTGTTTTTGCAAATACATAAATATATAAACAAACAAACACACACATGATAAGTAGTTGTTGTTGTATTTTTAAAATATCAATTGTTTTATCTGTTACTTGTTTGGCACAAAAATATTTACTTATACTTCAAGTTTGAATAATATATGTTGCTCTTACAGTATCTTATAATCATCTCAGTAAGTAATTTAATTATATTTATATGTTGCTCTTACAGTATATTATAATTATCTCAGTAAGTAATTTAATTATATTTATATGTTGCTCTTACAGTATATTATAATTATCTCAGTAAGTAATTTAATTATATTTTTTTATTTCTGTTGGATAAAATCATGTGGCAACCTTAAACATAACTTTTTAAATTTTGTTTGAGCAAATTTCAGTGCTATCTCAATAAATTAACTGGTAATTTGCTATCAAATAAGTATTATGTATTAACCCACTATTTTAAATTTGAATTTGTTAATAGCATGCATTCTTAGATCTTTTTAAATTCAAGCACATGAATGATAATACATGCACTAGTTCAAACGTATATACACGTTTTACAAATTATGTGAACAGAATATTAATAACATATACTGGGACAGTCACCATTACGGATGACTGCACACCATAACACAATGCTAGCATTTAAGGAAACACAAACTAGCCTTTTAGTGATATGAATCTTCTCATATTTTTATTACATCAAAAAAATTGCACACCATAACACAATGCTAGCATTTAAGGAAACACAGACTAGCCTTTTAGTGATATGAATCTTCTCATACTTTTATTACATCAAAAAAAACTGCACACCATAACACAATGCTAGCATTTAAGGAAACACAGACTAGCCTTTTAGTGATATGAATCTTCTCATACTTTTATTACATCAAAAGAACACATCTTTAAAACAAAGGTTCAATATAACGATAATTAAAAGAAAAAAAGAAACGAAAAATCAATAATACGAATATATTAAAAAATGTATAATTTAAATACATTTTTAATTATAGTTCGTATTATTG